AGTGACACTTGCATGCATAATTTTAAAATTAAATTGTATTGGCATCTCCAGGGTGAGTATCCATGGACTGTAACGGAGTTTCATCAGCTCTCTCTGTTAGGCAGCTTTAATGTGCCCTTTGCTACAGTATCTGAGGGTCTGTCTACACAGCAAAGAAAAACTCACGGCTGGCCCGTGCCAGCCCAGTTGGGCTCGCGGGGCTCGGGTTGCAGGGCTGTTTCATTGCTGTGTAGACTCCCTGAGCTGCAGGGTCCCGCAGCCCGGCCTCCAGCCCAAGCCCAGAAGTCTACACAAGTCCCTCAAGCCACAGAGTGAATGCTAATTCCATCTAGCTTACCTCCGACAGGTCTAATTTGTGCAGGGAACGTTTCAGAGACAGGAAACTGCCTGGGCCTAGATTGTGAACGCCAGAGCCCAAGGTAGTGTAAGCCCACGGGGCTCCATTAGCTTCAGTGGAGCTATGCCAGCTGAGGATTGCACCCTGAGTTCTGGACGGTTCTCCTGCACTGATCCCCGAAGCCCTCCTTGGTGTCGTCGTTCTACTTTGTAGTATGGCGGGAGCTGAGCTATCCCGTCAGTATTTAGAATGAAATCCTTTGTGTTGTGGAAGGATATTCACGGGGCTTGAAGTGTCCAGGGAAGGACGAAATGCCCTTGTCACCTGTTGAGACCGACATCGCCAACTGAAGTGTTATGGGCTTGCTGGCAACGGCAGTAAATACGTTTCTGAACTTCTAATGAAGCCTAACAGATTGGGGAGGGGGAGGGGTGCAGCAGGGAGCTGGCACACAAAACACTGCTGAATGCAAACAGATCAAGATCAGTTTCCAGCACAGATTAAATCCCCCACATCCTGGGCAAATGATACAACCCAGCTCTCTCCAAGCCTGACAAACCCAGCAGGTCCTGCATTGTTCTGCGACAGCAGCGGGCTAGTCACAGCAGCAAAGGGCATTATCAGCATTGGGAAAAGAGCCACTGAACAGCTGAAGAGGAAGAAATGGCTTTTGTGTGTGTGAGAGATCACATCACTTGTCCTCCTGGACAAAACCCAACCTCTCAGGCACAAGGCACCCACCATGGTAAATCTAAATCAGCCTGTAGGTATGGCCGCCTGGCTGCATCCTTTCACAGCAGCCTCAACCAGGTAGGAGGGGGTAGAGGGGAGCTCGTCTCATGCCCTGAAAGGTTTATATGTCAGATGCAACACTTGTTTCTGCTGTCCAAGTTGAGATTGACGGTCCTTGGCTTTCCTTCCTGCGGTCTTGGGGCGTTTATCAAGATTTATGGAGCCAAGAGGGCTGGGGAGCAGTCAACCTCTCTAAAGCCAGACCCCTGCTTTGTGGTGAATGGTGTAGCCGCTCTTTATCAGCATGGCCGCCTGCTGCATCTCGAGTTTGTTCACTGAGGTTTGCAGCCCGCCACCTTCTCCAAGTTGGGATTCCTCAGCACGTCTTGACTCCTGAATCCGTGCAATGGACTCAGGAGTTGCTGGCCATTCCTTTCGTGACAGCCTTACTAAACGGTCAGGAAAATTTACCCAGCCCAGGTAACACCTCTCCTTGCCCACCGGTTACCAGAGTGATTGACAATCACGGAAAACCACAATTCTCTTTTAGGTGGCCATCAACCAAAACCAACCCCCCACCACACCATGGGCAGTGCTGACTTGGGAGCTCTTCCAAAGTACAAAGGATTGTTCAGGATTGCGGAGTTCATTGGCCTTGAGCCCAGAACTTCAGTATTGCCATTTTGACGTAGGTTTCTTTTCCCCTCTGGCCCTGCCATTTGAAGAAATAAAGCCGACTGACACTTATCCAGCCCAAGGGGACATAGTGAAGTCAGTGGCACATGGAGCGCAGGTGAGAATGAACCCCCAGGGAGCCCTCATGTACGGTCCCCTGATCTAATCCCAAGACATCACTCCCTGTTCACAGAGGAAGGACAGCACTCCCTTCCCTTAATGGGAAGCAGAGGAAGGGATGAGGCTGTAGGCTTTCTTTGTGAAAATAAATACCCCTAAAGCAAATAGCAGTAAAGCTTCATCATGCAGGCAGTCACTGACTGAGCAGTCTGCTTTGTTAACAACTCTGAAGTCCCGACCTTGTATGAATCAAGTAGCTTGGACCTCATGCTTCTAAGTAGCTTAGCAATGTATTGGTCACAGTTGGCCTTGTCCATGATGTATGTGTCCCATTGGGCTTTGACCGTGATGCTGGTTAGCCAATGTTTTAGACTTACAGGATGAGGTTTTCAGTAGAACTCAGCATTGGCCTGACTCTGTTTCCAGAGGGGTCCCATAGGGGTTTTACCACTGGCTTCACTAGGAGCAGAGTTAGGCCAATGCTGAAAACACCAGCCAGAGAGTTTAAAGGGAAATAATTTTTAAAAATCTAGTTTCACTTTTCACTCTTTATGCCGTTTGCTATCCGCTCTCCGAAGAATGACATGAGGCCGCTCAGCTTGGCTTCCTGTTGACAGTCCATTTCCCTAGATTTCTCCTGCTAGCTTGGGTTTCTCACGTTCCCAGGGAATACACGTTCCGTTTTCATTGACATTTTTAGACTCACAGGACAAACATTTCTGTTCAGATTGGGCCAGATTCTGCAATTCTTACATTTAAGGAGCGCTTCGTTACGCAGGCTAGTGTTGCTCAGAGCAAGGGTCGCCAAGTCTGTCCCGTTCGGTTGTGTTAGCCCCGCTCTTCACTTTGTTTGTTTTTAAATGTCAATTTGGGGCCAAAATACTTCCCACTGTCCCTTTGAGGAGGAGGAGGAGGATGTGCCAAAAGGGCCTGATCCCTGGAAGGCAATGGGAGACAGCAGGATTGGTCCGAGGACTCTGGTTTTCTGTCTAGCAAAGCTCCTCCGATCTCTGCACA